TGGTGATGGACGGTGATGGTGATGGTGGACGGTGGTAGTGGTGGACGGTGGCGGAGAACGGTTGTGGTGGTGAAGAGAAGTAGAAAAAAAAGGAGAAGATGTTAGAATATGTTAGAAGACATTGGTTAATGTCTTCTCCAAGAAGATGCCAGGAAGACCTTTTTGAGTGAAATGTCTTCCAAAAAACAAACAATCTGCAGAGCCCATCATCTACGCGCGTCTGCGCGGCGCAGACAAAAGACGCCAGAAGGTCTTCTGGCGGAAAAACAAACACCCTCTAAGTCTGGCAACGTGGTCTTTGTCAAAGTTTTCTGCGTGGTCTAAAAAACTAGCCTAAGAAAAGTTTTCTTCTTATTGCCCCTTGTTCAAATGAGAGTTATGTAGGACTGATACGGAAAACAAGAGCAAAAGCTTATTTACCTAAACGAGCAAGGCGATTAACCCATCTAGGAATTTGTTTCCCTGTCAATCTGGTGCATACATCATTGCAGAAATGGTTGCAGTTCTTCGTGATGAGATTGTATGAGCTGCCACCATACTCCTCGGCAAGTTTCTCCATGAATGTGCGGACTTCTTTCGGGCCCAAATCAGTTCGCCCGATAAGTATTGATTTTCTGAATGTGAATCCCGGGCACTGCTTAGGTTCTACTTCAAATATTCCACTGGTAGAATGCTCATGTGCGCCGAACCCATATTCAACCCCATGAACTATCAGAAAATATGGAAAGCTTGTATCACAAAATTGTAAGTTCAAACTCTTCTTTTCTTCTTATATTGCGTCCAGAAATACATAATTGCTACGTAAGCATTTACGCATCAAATCAAAGCAGGAATATGTGATACGGTTCTAGGCAAGCAATGTAATCAATAATGAATCCTTGGATGATTTAAACTATGAATTACGAGATTTCATCACCAGCATCAAGTAATTCTAGTTCTCATGGAGTTGGAAGTCACAGAATGACAAGCCAGTACAGACCCCAAATACTCAAATTATTTCAGTCCTTGAATCCCTTGCAGAGAGAAATTCCATTAAATGAGTTACAGTACAAACTGCAGAAATGCACATTTAGGAAATTTAGAGAGAGAATTGTAAATGTTTTCGATTCAAATCCTCGGTTTATCTGCAGGAAAAAGTAATAAGGATGCCAATCAACCGATTTCAAAAAACTCTGACCTCTTGCATCTAATTCACCATTGCTTAAAAATCAAAATTCAGAGCGTTCGTAGCTATCTATACACAGTTCAAAATTCAGCAAGGAGATTAGAAAAACGTGTAAAACTGTTTCAGGCAAACGAAATGGAATGGAGCAAACCTTGGACGCCGGAGTGATAGACGCCGAGACCGAACCAGTAAGCGTAGCCATTGATCGGAGTGAGATCATACACATTCAGGTACACCGGCACGGCGCCGGTCTTCCTCTTCCGGCGAAGCACAATCGTTCTACACCACATCATCTATCCACCTCTCTTCTTCTCCCTCTCCGTCGATCCGCCGCAGATCGTGAGATTTATGAGCTCCGCGAAGGAAAATCGAACTCCAATTGCTTCTACAGTTGCTTGAAATCGGAGAATCCGAACCGTGCGCTCTTGGACGGAAAACGAAATGTGGAAATTGAATCGTAATTACGGCGGAAAAAAACTGAGAGGGAAGAGAGGGAGAGAGAAAGGTATGGCCAAAACGCAGAGATGAATCTGAATGTGAAGATGCGTTCATACGACGGATTCGAAGGCACAGTAATTTATACTGTACGCGTCAAGTGCTTTTCTTGAGTGTTTGAGCAATTGATGCATTAATGTCTCTAGACGTGTACAAATTTTTAAAATTAATTTTTTTTAGTTTTGATGGTTTATTACCGGAAAAAAAAACAATCATCTTAGGAGGACATTAAAAAATACTGTATATCCTAATTGTGCCTCAATGAAAATATACAAATATTTTAACGGTTCACACTGATACAAAATGTTAGTTCACTTAAAAAAATTGCACTGATATTTTCTGTCAATGTAAACCATCACATTAGCATCACACTAGCATAAGATGTCGGTGCACGCCTCTAGAATACAGAATGAGGTACAAATAGCTTAATCCAAAAAAAGATATTGAATTTTTATAGTGTGGATGATCCACATGCATGAGTACTTTTCATGCTTGTCCGTTTCTCAAATTAATAATTTTTGTTTTTTCCGAAAAAGTTAATTTTTTTAGAACTTCTAAAAAATGATGAATAAAATAAGAAACAAAATAATACAAAAATAAAAATGATTATCCTTTTTGGACATCTCAATTTTGAGGATATTTTTAGGCATGTTCCAAAATTGTTTTTTGTAAAAGACTCTTTTTTTCGTATTTTAATTTTTTCATTTCGTTTTTCCATATTTTTATTTTGGGTTTTCTTTTTGAACATTCCAAAAAATTATTCTATGTTAGAAAAAGTGAAAATATTTAATTTGAGATAGATGTAATGTATGTTAATTTTTTTAATTAGTTCAAACACAAAGAATTTTAAAAAATTTTAAAACATTATAAAAAATTGAAAAGAAATTTTTTAAAAGAATCTAGGAAAAGGAAAAAGAAAGAAAAACACAAACAATAAACGAAAAATAAGAAATGAGCACGAGTGCCCCCTATGGTTTAGAAATTATGCGCCAATGCCCCCCCTCTTCGCCCGAAAATGGCCGGAAAATGATGAGAGGGGGTGTGGGTGCAGCGTTTTGAAACCACAGGGACTTTAGAAATAAGTTTTGAAAATAGATGGGTATTAGTGTCAATTTTCCAAACCACAGGGGCACTAGAGCTATTAGGCAGATAATCATTTGTGCGAAGTTTGGGCAACCATTTAGGGTCACTCAAGCATTTTCCAAAATAATATCAACTTAATTGTCATCTATGTGAGAGAAAGACGAGTATCATCTTGGTGTCATCCTCAAAGTATCATTTCTCTCCATTGGTGAATCTGTGTGGAGAGGAATATGGGCACTTGCTCAGTTGCCCCAATGAATTTTACTTTTATGTATTTAGTACAATTCTGTCGTGGACCTAATATTCATGTCATTTTATGGGCTTTGGTTTATTTGTAACATAAAAAAATGTAGGCCTTTTACAAAAAAAATATCACATGCAAGTCCATGAAAATTGTGAGAATGTCCACATTTTAAATGTGGAACTTGAAACCATGTAAATATCATTTTTTCTCCAACTATGTGAAATAGAATCACGTCATTTTTTGGAATAAAAAAGGTAAAAAAAATCTATTTTGATACAGAGTGCAATTTAGGATAGGGTGGTAACTGCTGAATTGACAATTAGACACTTGGACTAAATCATACTCCCTCCATCCCATAAAGATGGGTACGTTTGGACTAAAGTAGAAATTAAGAGAGGGATAATTTTGTGTTGAATTTCCAAAAATACCCTTGATGTGATTGGTAAAAGTATGATATAATATGTAGATTATTAGAAAAAAGATATGATGTGATAGGTAGGGTTTGAAAAAGTAAGGGGTAAAAGTGGTTTTTTAATAAAAATGGGTAAGGAATTGTGAGACGCATTTTTTTTTGAAACGTGTAAATCTTTTTGGGATGGAGGGAGTATTAAATATTGAATTCAATCAATTACTTAGTTCAATTGAATCTAATCGGTTGACTATTTAAAAATAGATTATCATCTCTTAAAACCAATATTTGAGAAGAAAAATCTAAATGACTCGAGTCATTGAGTATGAAATTTCAGACGAACAATTAAATTAAATGGGTTATGGATAGTTGGTATACATTGTATATGAGCAACCGGGCTAAAGATTAGGGCCGTTGGCAGTGAACGTCTAAACCGACATCTTGATAAACAAGTAAGGCCAAAAGATTAACTAGGCTAAAGATTAGACTCGCTAGTAATGAACGTCTAGACGAACACTTTGATAATCGATGAAGGCCAAAAGATCAACTGGGCTTAAGACTAGAAGTGCTGGTAGCCTGGTAATGAATGTATTCGATATAAATTAAGTATTTTAAAAGTTCAAATCTAGAAACAGACGAATTAAGTATATGGAGTACTTAGTGTCGGGCTTATCCAAGGCTGATCCAAGGTTTCGTACCTTCTCGTGGCCATGTTTTTTGGGGCCTCCATATTTTAAATTTTTGATAAAAAATATTTTAAATATATATATACTCCGTATATGTGTGTGTATATATATATATATAAGTAAAAATTTTAAATAATTTAATAGTTTAAGGTAGCTATTACGATATTCATTTATAATATTACTCGAGTACAATTATCTTATGTATTGCTATGAAATTAACTACTCCCTCCGTCCCAAAAAGATTTACACCTTTCAAAAGAATTGCGTCCCACAATCACCTACTCATTTTTATTAAAAAACCACTTTTATCCCTTACTTTTTCAAATCATACCTATCACATCATACTTTTTTGCTAATAATCTACACATCACATCCTACTTTTACCCATCACATCAAGGGTATTTTTAGAAAGTCAACAAAAAATTATCTCTTTCTTAATTTTAACTTTAATCAAAAAATGTAAATCTTTTTGGGACGGAAGTAGTATTATTTGAAAGAAAAACACTTATACGAAGTACTCTGTACAATTTAATTTATTTGATTTTTGGTCTCGTCAGCATGTGTTATGTGTTTGACAAATTATCGTGGTAGGTGAAAACATAGAAATTGGCAGACTATGCAAAGAATCCAAAGACGGCCTGAAACTCTCCCAAAGGAGTGTTTGGCGTTTAGATAATTTTATTTGCCAAAAAAAAGCTTTTAAGTGAATGTCAAGTAAAACAACAGTAAGTTAGAAGTACTTCCCCATTCAAAAAAACTGTAAGAAGTACATGACGAATGTTTTTGAGAGAATTTAGGATGTGATAGTGATAACTAAATTGAGTAATAAGACACTTTGGTTAAACCGCATTAAAAGATTGAATCCAATCGATTAATTAGTTCAACTCAAGAGCTTATATAACGATTATTTTTCTCACACGTTTCCGATGTGGGATACTCTTAACACTCCCCCTCAAGTGGACAACCGGTTCATTTTGAATCTAACCGGTTGACCACTTGCAAATGAACTCTCATTCCCTTGACCTTTTTTTGAGCGCAAACACCTAAAAGACCACGAACTGCTGGGTATGGACTTCCATACGAGCAATCGTGTTAAACGGGCCACAGGCCGTTGAGTACATACTCCATACGAACAATTGGGCTAAAGCCTGGGCCGCTAGGAATGAACGTCTAGACGGACACTTTGACAAACGAGATGGGTCAAAACCTGCTCCGATACCATGATAGAATTTAGGATGTGGTAGTGATAACTGGATTGGACAATAAGACACTTGGGTTGAACCGCATCAAAAGATTGAATCCAATCGATTAGTTAGTTCAACTCAAGAGCTTATATACCAATTATTTCCTCACACGTTTCCGATGTGGGATACTCTTAACAGTTTTAGGGTCTATTTGGTACACGAAATTGACGTAATTGAATTTGAATTGGAAATTAGAATTCCATAGAATAGATGTGGGTGGAATTGAATTTTCTAATTCCAGTTCATTTTTGGCATGATCACTTCCAAATCCACATATTTTTGTAGTTCCAAACACTAGAATTAGAATTGTTATCTTTAATTTTAATTTCATATTTTGAATTTCGTATATCAAATGTAGCCTTCGTCAAGTTATTTTTAATTAAGAAATCATTTAAAATACTCCCTTTTCCTTCGTTGCAAAAACTCTTTTCCTTTTCCTTTTCCTTTTTTTGTCTCACAAAATTATTCTCTTTTCTATTAAAAACTCATTTTTACTCATACTAATTATTAATTTACCTATCAGATCATATCTTTTTTATTAATAATCTATCCATCACAACTTACTTTTCTCATCACATCAATATTATTTTTTTGAAAAACAACACAAAATTATCTCTCCCTTACGATTGTTTTGTATTTTAAATGTTTATGGGTATTCAATTAAGACTTTAACAAAATCATTTAAAATATGAGTGTATTCTATAAAGACTTTAAAATAGAAATCACCCTAAATAAAACTAAAACATAAAAAAAAGTACCAAAATAGAAGTTTCAGTTTTTATTCTCAAAATAGGACTTCACACTGTGATAATGTGGTTGTAACGTGACATTGTACACGTACACATTACTATACTTTTTGGTAATATACATGACCATGTTTGGTAATGTAAGGTACTTTAATCTTTTTCTCATTTTAAAACATCTATAAACTATAAAATACTTGATATACTCGGAGTAATTTTTTAAAATATGAATTGAATACAATCTCTAAATCTACCTAACTTTGCATGAACTTAAAACAATTCATAGATTTCAAACAATCTATTGAAATATTTTTAAACATGAATTGAATACACTCACCTTATATTAGAAATCGGGAGATAGGAGGAGAAGTATCTAATCTTTTGAAATCAATTTATTTACAAGTTGATACATCAATAAAAACTACTTTAGATATTAAAAATTATGTCAAGAATTTTACAAAACAAAATGTGATAAAAATATTTTATTTTATGAAATTATCAACGAAAACACACAAATAAATGAAAGTTATCGATATGTATAAAAAAGTTGTAGTTAAATTTAGAATGGAGGAAATATATTGCTTCTTTCGTCCCAGTATATTTGCATAGTTTGAATTCTTCAAATAAAAAGAATGAACTTTAAACTTCAATTAAACAAAAAAATTGTTATGTGTATTAGTATAAAAATGATTGTATTAGATGTATCATGATGAGAATTTTCAGAGTTTTATCTTATTGTACTTATATGCGATACAAATTGAAAGTAATTAAAATCAAAGTTTATTCAATTTGACTAAGAAAATCAATTTGAAGCAATAGACTAGGACGAAGGTAGTACTTCGCAATACATACATAATTTCTAAATTTACTAAAGCACAAAGAATTAAGGCTCACTCAATCATAATTTTAGGGGTGAGTATGATACAGTATAATACAGTACTTAGCTCGCACCGATATCATATCAAATATTTCGATTCGATATGGGATTTTACACCCCATCCCGAAATATCTGTTCAGTAGGTTCGAAGATTAATTTGGTATCGGTTTCAGTACAAATCGGGATGAATATAATACTATTTTACACCTTAAAATTTAACAATGCTGCTTTATGTTAGAAAATTAAAAGTGAATTTAAATAAAAAAAATTAAAAATTTTTAAAAATAAATATTTAAATGCAATAGATGTGTATCAAAATTTAGTTCATATTTCACAAACTAAAAAATGAATGATAACAAATTAAAGGAGTATTTTGAATCTTTGTGAATATTTTTATTCTTATATAAAAAAACTAAAACTCAAATAAATATAATTTAAAGATAATAGAACTTGAACAATATTAAAAAAATTATTTAGTGAAGGAAAATTTGGTTCACAAATACCGTACTTGGTTCGGTACAATTTGATTCCTTCTCGATATTTTTTCGATTAAGTATTCTCAATTTTTTTGGAAAATGTTGGGATCGATTTGGTATTGGCTCACTCTGCTAAGTTGTAATGGCTAGTGAAATCCAACTTAACCCAAAAGTCATCCGAACCTGAACCAGAACAGATGACCCAAGGTTTAGCCCAAAACCCACCTTTTTCCCAGTAGAACCCCAAATCCTTCTCTCCCTCAACCATGGCCGCTCTTCTTCGTGCTGCGCGCAGCCGCTCGCTCGCCGCTTGCCGCGCCACGATTAACGCATTATTCTCTCATCCTCAACGATTTATTCTCGCCGCCGGTGGGTTCTCCAAGGGTTTCGCCTCCCAATCTCTGCCGCAGACCGCTCGCAAATCTCCGTTCTGCTCAAACATGCTCAGGATCCTCCATAACGAAATCGATTACCTCTCCACTTGCGCTCCTCCCCAACCGGTAATTCATCAACACTTTGTTTTTTTCCCTCCTCATTTCATTCATGTTTTTTTTTCATTTTCTCTTTAATTTAGGAATATTTGTGTTTGTTCACTAAGGGCGTGTTTGGTTAGGAGGAAGCGCATCCGGCTCCTCTATTAATCTTTCAGCCAAACAAGTGGAGTTGAGATGATTCCCTTCTCTCTTTTACAAGCAAACATTATTATGGTATTTTTATATATCTTAATTGTTGTGAATACATAATGTGATCATTGTGTGATGAGGAGGAGATACCTTACGGGTTCCGAAAAGAAGTGTGTTCCAAAAAGTAATGAAACGAACTGAAAAGCGATGAAGTGAACCGAATTGTACTGAATTGAAATGAACAAACTCTTAGTGTTACAAATGGATAGATAATTGCTTTAAAAATACAAGTAAACAACAGCCGACTCAGTAAAATCCTACAAAATGTAGAGTCTAGGGGACATGTTTGGATGCAGATCTTATCCCTACTTGGAGAAGTAGAAAGGTTGTTTTCAAAATTTTTAGAGATTTGGGCTCAATCGTTGACAAATACGGGAAAATACGTCCTCAATACTTGACACACTATTATGCATAACACTTTGTTTTCAAATTCTTCATCTTTCTTCAAACAAGTGGCGTTTTAGGTTATATTTTTATTCCGAAATATGTCTCCGTTATATAAAATTAAAGAACCATTATTTACTTTGTTGGTTTTCAAAACTGTCTATATGCTCCCCCCTGCTAGTAAAGTGAATGATAGCCATTAGCTCTTAGATATCAAATTTTTATCGACTTTATTGTTTCATTTAGGGTATTTTTAGGAGTTAGATTATGAAGGGCTTTGAATGGGTTATTTTTCATTACAAAAAATAGTGCTTTTAACATGAAAATTATTCAATACAAAATGTTAAAATAAATATACTTATAATGTCCTTAACATTTATTTATTTATCTTCATACGTTGTATATAATTCTCTTAAATTAAACCTAAAAAATAAATATTTTTCTCCCCTCTATAATCCCCCAAAAGCCTCCAAAACCCAACTCCCAAACATACCCTTAGGATCTATGCAGATGTCCTCACTCCTCAAGGAAACTTATTGATGAATGATAATAGAGAGAAATTCACAGTAGCGAGAAGTGAAAAGGTCAATCCTAAATAGCTGTATTCATGTCCTCATAAAGCTCTATTGCTAACCCTTTTTTTATGTGGGATACTTTTTTTAATCACATTTGCCACGGCTATTTAAATACTCCTTCCGTCCCAATGTATTCGTCCAGTTTGACTTTTTTGAGTCAAACGAGACAAACTTTAATCAGGAATTACATTAAATTTGTATTGCATATTAATACAATGAAATAAAAATTGGAATGTCGACCTGTGCAACATAAGTCTAACAAAATCATTTTTAATGCTAATATGCAATACAATTTTATTTAATTGAAGATCAAAGTTAGTATAATTTGATTTAAAAAAGTCAAACTAGACAAATGCATTGGGATAGAGACAATTGAAATTTTGAGCAGTCTTGATTACTGGATAAGTGATCATAAGATGCGTTGATGTCTATAATTGTCCTTTCTTGTTTCTCATGTCTACTCTGTTGTATTTCTCCAGCATGTTACGGTTTTCAATGAATTTACAGTTCAAGATCACCCAGCTGAGCAGTGGATTACCTTAAAGAGGAAGTTTCAGGATGATGAAGACATCAAAATTGAAGTAACAATGTTCGATTGTGCAGTTCCCGTTTCCAAATCTGGAGATGGAACTTCTGAAGATGTGCAGCTTCATATTAGTTTTCTAGTAGACATATGGAAGAAGGAAGAAGGACCTGACTCCTTGGAGTTTGTGTGCTCAGCTTGGCCAGATCGTCTGGAAGTTCAAAAAGTCTATATTTTCAGGCGAGGAGGATTGCAACCATCGCCACTTCCATATATGGGACCGAACATCAAGTATGTCATTTCCTTTGCTCTATAAATTACCTCTTTGTCCTTTCATGCGTAGGCACTAGGCCCCCTTTGGCCACACCTATGTTGCTTTTGTCCAAATTGACCCTGCTGAGCAAGCATCCTTGGTCAAATGGATGAAGGACCAACCTAGGGATTCTGGTGCTGCTCTGGTTCGGTCCCTCAAGGAAGCACGGGAAGGGGATTTTAAGGGATTTTTAAAGGAAGTTGTTTGGGCTATAAAAAATGAAAGGGTTTAAGTGGGCTTTATGATCATCGAGGTTAATGTGTTTCGGCTCCAGGGTTGTAGTGGGCCATAGTTCAGGTTTTACCTCTTAAAAAAATTTAAAAAAATATTTTAAAAATAGTTTATAAAATTGATCCCACCTAATCATGCAGGCCCCAATCACCTTGCCCCATGCCTAATGGCTTTTGGAGCAATTGTGCTTTTGTATTGAGTCGGTCTATCTGGGAAACAACCTATCTACTTCCAAGTAGGGCTAAGGGCTACGGACCCTCCCGGGACCCTAATGTTTTGTGAGGATTCTATTGGGTATCTTGTTGTTTGGGGGAGATGAGGCTTTTAGAGAGTTTAATACCTTTTGCGATTGGGGTTAGATTCTTGTTGTTGATAGCGATGATGATTGCCTTCAGGGATTTGGACAAAAAGCTTCAGGATGGACTTTATGAATTCTTGAAGAAAAGAGGGGTAGATGATGAACTCTCTGTGTTCTTACACAGTTATATGATGAACAAGGAAAGAACTGAAATTCTTCTTTGGCTAAGAAGAATCAAATCTTTTNCCCCCCCCCCCCCCCCCCCAATTCAATTGGTATTTTGTAACTTGATGGATTTTTTTTCACCATACATCTACTAGTCTTCTTCCAGAGGTGTAAACCATTTCAGGGAGTGCCATAGCTCTGTACAGAATATGTTTTGATTAATTGGGGCCAACACCCTCATGACTATGTTTGGTTTCAAGGAATTTGAAAGGGTAAAAGAAAAGAAAATGACATGAAAAATAATGTTTCTTGTTTGGTTAGAGAGGAAAAAGAAAAAAAAAAGTAGAAGGAAAAGAAAATGAGAGGAGAATAAACCAAAAGAAGGGAAACCAACTTTCCTTCTTATTTGATGAGGAAAAGTGAGAAACCATTTTCATTTCTCTTCTTTCCGAATTCCACGAACCAAACATAGTCTAAAAGAATGGTGCTTTCATTTGGGAATTTATATCTTATTGTAAGTTTCATTTAAGTCATGTACTCAAATATGGGCATTTGAAGAGCCGAGGGTCTCTTGGAGACAGCTTCTCTACTTTCGAGTAGGGGCAAGATCTGCGTACACACCCCCTCTCCAAACCCTACTTTCGTGTGATCCAACTGGGTCGTTGTGAAAGGTATATGCAATTACATTCAAGTAATGTTCTTCGTTAAAATATCTTTGTGAAAGTAATGGAAAGTCCAAAAAATAGTGGGACAAGAAGTACATTAAGAAGGCCCTCACGTGGCTTAGAGGCCGTGGAATAACCTTGGTTCGTGTGATTTCTGATTGTGCACCTTGTGCCATAATCTCGCAATTACATTTTCGGAGGATTGGTCTTGCATTGGCATCATGTTGTTGATTGTCAAAAACGTTTGTCAAAAATGTTTTGGAGGCATTTAAGTCATGTTGGAAACGTTTGGTCTTGCATTGGATTCGGTCCCTTTTCAGGGATTGCCATAGCTCTGTTCAGGACTATGGTTGGTTCAAGAAATTTGAAAGGGAAAAGAAAAGGAAATAATATGAAAAATAATGTTTGAAGAAAAGAAAATAATTAAAAAGGAACTGGAAAATGAGAAGAAAAAATAATCCAAGAGAAAGAAAACTAATTTTTCTTCTGTTTTGGTTAGAAAAAAGAGAAACCTTTCTTCTTTTCTTTTTCCTTCCAAATTCCACGAGGAACTTGTACTTTTCCTTGTTCTGTAAAACTTTTAGTGTAATTTTATTATGTAAATTTTATTAGTTATTTTTATACCAATTTTTAAATTAATTATTTGTGTGCCAATTTTTAAATAAATTAATTTTAAAAAAATGCTGAATTTTGCCTCATAATTGGGAAATTGTAATTCAATTTGGAAAAGAGTATCTTATTGTAAGTTTCATTTAAATCATGTAGTTTTGTTTGCTAATCAAATCTGGGTTTTGAAAGCACCAATACATATGAGAAATGTTCTTTGTTAAAATATCTTTTTAAAAGTAATGGAAAGTCCAAAAATAATTGGACAGAAGTATAATTAAGGTAAGTTTTTTTTTTTGCACAAAAAAGTCAAGTTTTTAAAATGATGGCGTTTTTCCTCAAAAAAATAATTCTTTTTTACTTTTTTTCATTTCATTTTTTGGAAAAGTATATATATAATCCAAAACACTTAAATTTTTTCTAAATAAATTGTAACCATTCATTTATTAAAAATTTTCCGACTCTTTCTTAAGCACTATAAAAATCAGAGTGAGATAATGTTTTTGCGAAAGGGATGGAGTAATTTCTATAAGCACATTGCCACATTAGTGAAAGGAAAGCTTTTCCATAAACTCCCTCTGCCCCCCTAAGTCTTCTCACTTTGGAAAAAAACTTAATAAAAACGGGTGAAGTGTATTAAATGAGGTGAGTGAAATGCAATAAATAAAGTGAAAGTAATGGTGATATTTAAAAATATAATAAGATCAATGGTAAACAAATAAAAAGGGTTAATAACAAGATCTATGAGGATGGAAAAAGTACAATTCTCCATTGACAGACAAAGTACCGTCTAAAAAGATCCAAGATATCTTTCAATCTTGGCTTCCTATGTAAATGACCATTTCCTCATATTTTGGCGTAAATTGTTAGATTTAGCTCGTTACTTTTATTCCGCTCAATCCCAATTTTAAAATAAAAAAACCGATCTAAATAGTATAAACCATCATATCATATAATGCTCCCTATGTTTTGATCTAAATGAGGGAAGGGCATCACTCCATCCCTTTCAACCAAACACTTGGGCATGAACATATGAAAATCAGGTAATGTAATTTCTTGTCCTTTTTTTCCCCAATATAAGACTTAAGAGTGTTCTTTCTCCAATATGCAAATCAGCCATGGATGTGTCTCCAAAAGGGCAAGGCAAAAACAAAAAAAAATTGTGCCTGTTTGGAATCAGCTATAGCGTTTTAGCTTTGACATTTTTAAAAGGTTACCTAATGACATTGTTTAGTTTTTGCATTTTCAAAGATGATTTACACTGTTAAAAAATTATCCAAAACACTAGCGCCAATTACAAACATGGTCTCCAAACAAATCCTTAGGCCCCGTTTGGTACATTATTCTTGTGTTTGGTTGCACAAATATTATGTGGATTTGGAATTCATAGTGCAAAAAATGAATTGAAATTGGTGAATTCAATTCTATGGAATTGAATCCCATGGAATTTCAATTCCAATTCAAATCCAGTTCCATCAATTATGTATACCAAACGGATCCTTAGTCTATTTGGTCTGCATTTTCCCAAAATGAGTTTTTGTCCTACATGGTTCTACTACAATGAGAATATTCGAAATCAACCACCTACAGCACCTGATTCTAGTGATTTTCATAAATTTGTTCTAAAATCAGAATCATCTTCTTTTTTTTTCATTTTTTTTTGAAAAAATACAAATCAAACCAGCAGCTCAACGTCTTCTCGACGCAATGACTTCTCTGATTTTGAGGTTTCTAATCTTGCAAGATGCAGAGTTTCTCAAACCTAAGTTTGCTGAATTTGTGGACATGAGCAACATAATGTGCACATACAAATCAAATCAAGATTCCGTCTGTCAAAAATGCAAAAAATTATAAACTTGTGGCCTTATAGGTAATATACAAAAGAATATAATGGAGCAAGATCAAGCTCACACACGGGGACCTGGAGAAAAACACATGGTACCTTTTTTTTCATTTTGTCAACCAGTAAATGAGGATGAGAAACACACATGCTGAAGCGACCAGTGAAAGAATGATAGTATCCATTGATTTTCTCTTCTTTATTCCCGAAAGAATTTGGTTAACCTGCGATATCAGATCACGGATGCATTGATTGGCACACAAAAGTATACTTTCTGCAGTGTGTGTGTTAGAGAATACAACGACAAACCCAGTAAAATTCCACGAAAAAAGTATGGTCTGAGGAGGGTTGTGTTTGTTTGAGAATACAACAGCAAACTCAGTAAAATTTCACAAAAAGTAGGGTCTAGGGAGGATTATGTTTTGTTTGAGAATACAACCCTAGTAAAATCCCACAAAAAAGTAGGGACCAAAAAGTGTTGTGTTTGTTTGAGAATACAACAGCCCTAGTAAAATCCCATGGAAAGTAGGGTTTGGGGAGGGGGGAGGGTGTGTACAGAGTACAAACCTTACCCCTACTCGAAAGTAAAGAGGGCAATTCCAAGAGACCCCTAGCTCAAACACAAAGTAAAGACACTAACACGAAAAGTAAGAGACTGTTTATCCGTGAATATCTTCAGATTTTAGGATTGGTTTCTTTTTTGGGTAAAAAGTTAGCATTTGCAAAATAAATTCTCAGGTTCTTCCAAATAGGAGTGGGGAATGCTGGTTTGGTTTAAATTGGGTTGATAAATGGCTACTGAAATTAAATCAAGCATATGGTTTGATTCAATCTGGTTTGGGCTTATTTAGGATTTATTGGGATTTTAATGTGAATTTTTTTCTCTAGTTCTGTGGTTCGGTTATAATCAGTTTGGTTAGGATTTCAGTTGGGACTTGGGAGTGCTTTAAATTGACCCAGTTAAGCAAAAATGATTTGTTACTCAAAGAATTCTAAAAGTAAAACATTGTGGAAAGATGAGTAGAAAAAGACAGCTCCTTACCGTTGGAAGCCGACTACTGACATTACTAAGCTTTGAATTAATGCCGCCAAAAGTTGACCGTTGATACACAAGTGCCTTAAAAGTTTCTTGCACGTGAGAAATCACACCATCCATCTGCAAGATTATAACACTTTTAAGTTGCTCATTGAAATAACATGCAAGAATACATTGATAAACAGGCACCAGCCAACAGAAATACTGTAGAACCAAGAAACTACACACACACACACACCAATGCTCTCATCAGACGTGCATACATGGATGACCCGTGAGTTTACATAAGGAGAGAAGAGAGAGAGAGGAATGTGATGTCACATTCACATATTTGTGGTGGATATACAAATATTAACTAAAGAATGTGAGGATGCAAAGTTTATCTGTGTTGACACCCTCTACAGTGGGAAAAGGTTAAATTATTTGGCGAGTTAGGAAAGACAAAGCTTTTGAGATTAGAAGAATTTATCTTACTAATTACATTCTACAGGACCCTTCAATAAGGAGTTATAAATGTGGTTGTCAAAACTCAAGTTCTCTTATTTGAGGAACTTTGTTACTCCCTCCGTCCCTTTTTTGTTCCCACTTTGCTTTTTAATGTGTCGATAAATAATGTTCTCATTTCATTTTAACAAAAGATTTGAGTGGTTCATATTATTTTCCATTCCTCTGCATAAATTTGTCACGCACAATTTCTCATTTCTTAAGCTTATGCAAAAAGCAAATGACAACATTAGACAGAGAGAGCATTACACACTCAGTGAACAAATGAATTTCACAAAAGAAGCTTTCCATATAGCTAAAGGCAAAACAAAATGCCACTTTACATTGAATATCTCAGCGGAGAGCATTCATAGCCTGCCACCAACCAGGATTTGAAATAGCTTCTCAGATGGATTTGAGATTTTGATCAGAGGGTAAACCCAATATGATTGCATGAAAAGATGGCGAAAGAGGATGGTAAGATAAATTGTGATGGCTGAGCCAGATAAAGGATTTGAAATTGGGTCCAAAAACGGAAACTGCTCCGACGATGCACCATTAGGGCCACTATTTTGAATTAGTTGGATGACCCTTAGACTGATGATGATATTTGCAAGGAAATTGAGAGAAAATGTGATGCTGTGGTATATCAAGACTATAGATTGTGTAGAGTATGAGGTATTCCAGGAGTTTCTGCTTGAGATGATACTAACAGAGACATATCCAGATGTGATGGAACAGGATACATGGATAATTAGACATCCTTTGAAATGTGGATGCTGGAAGGATTTCTGAGAAAATATTAAGGATCTCATTGATAAGAGTTGAGTACAAGGTTGTTGATTCAGAGAGCACGACATTTGGTGACAGAAGGAAACAACATTTTTTCCGTAGATCAATATTCAATTGACATAAGTGTACCATAGGCAATTCTTTTCCTGATAATTCAAGTAGGTTGTTATTTATTAAATAAATTTTCCCATGTGATCTAAACACCGGAAATGACTTTGGGAACTCATTTTCTGCTTTACCAAATAGAGCCTTGAAGAAAACATGAGTACACATCTACTCACCTCCAAAATGTATCACTAGCAAACCTTCTGCTAAGGTGTAGTTTCACTTGTTACAAATACGATGGATAAGTTAAGTTCTGCTTGCAATAAAACTGCAATTCAAACTGCTAGAGAACCAACCTTCACGACGTAGGTACAAGCGTACAAATACAACAATAAAAACAACCCATTTTGATCCCACAAAAGTTGGGTCAGACTAGGGTGTGTACGCAGACCTGACCCCTAGTTGAAAGTAGAGAGGCTGTTTCCAAGAGAACCCCAGCTAGGGGTGTTCATCGGTCTAAAACCGGACCGGACCGAACCGGACCGGACTGAAAACCGAACTATGCTAAAACCTAGACCGAAGACCGGACCTAAATGTAGTCGGTTTTGGACTGGACCGACCCGAAATCTTATGGACCGAACCGGTTCAAACCGAAAAGACCAAATCCAGACACAAAAATTGATTCTTGATTTTTTTGAAAGGATTGATTCTTGATTTTAATTTTGATGGAAAAAAGGCATTTCAGACTTCATAATCTAGAGCCCAAACACATACACTGATACACAATAAGCTTCATAATCCAACCACAATTGAACCGAAAGTGGATAAAATTAAAATAAAATTGAAATCAATTTTGAAATATATCAAAAAGAAATTAAACCGAGTGAAAGGAATTAGGTAACCTATGATGGAAATCACTCAAAAAAACATCTTCTGCTCCGATGTTGGCCGATGTCGAGGTAGTGTAGTCACTGCTAATTAGTGTTGAAGGCACATGCGATGAGGATGATGGGAGATGAAGATGAGGGTTGATAATCTGAAGACAGCTGCGTTGAAGACAGGGCCGACTGCCGTGAAGAAATGAGGCTTTGGAGAAATAAGATCTGACAGGAGGGTGGGGAGGTTGTTGGATAACTTGGATCTACTAAAGTTACAAAGGGGAATAGGGGAGGAAATACAGAGTTAATGAATATTGTCGGTCATTTCGGTCTGGACCGAATAACAACCGGGTATGGACCGGACCGGACCGAAACCCAAAATTCTAAAAACTCTGGACTGAAGACCGACCCGAAATCCATTCGGTCCGGGTTCGGTCGGTTTTTTCGGTCTGGACCTAAACATGAACAGCCCTAACCCCAGCGGGTACAAGCGTACAAATTAAAAAAAATTGGGGCTTTGAATTCTAAATGATATTTTCTTTAAATGCAATTAAACTTTAATCTTCCCATGCAGTTTCAATGATCAATTGATTAATTGAGCACCACCAATGATTTTCACTCATTGCCATAATTGACATGTAGACACAAAATTGGTCAAAGTGTTAACATAAGCACAACCGCGCCCATATCGATGGATAAAGATGTCAGAGCTCCATAACCTAAAGATACTTAGTTTATGTTTCTAAAGAGTTTTGGATGGATATGGAGGGGAAGATTTTTAAAGGGCTTAATCTATATCTTAATGATTGATAGGTTTTCATTAATCAATTGATAAAATGAAATATTCTTGTCACCACTTGTTTTATAAATCTTTTGACGTAATTTTTTGATATGTAGGTTGTAATTTTATTTGAATACACATTTGTAAATAAAATATTTTTTAAAAAGATGGAATTTTGCATGATGTTCGAAGAGTGTAATCCATTTTGAGACGGAGGAAGTATTATGTTAATCTTCCAATGTTAATAACATCTCAAATATATATCAAAATATAGTATAAGACCTCTACCAAACAAGCCCTAAGGGGATCCAAAATCTTCATATTTCTTCACAATATAGAAACCCCTTCCCATCAGAGAGGAGATAGTGAGTGAGAACATTGTTTACCAGATATTAAACCCCTTAGCATGCTACTATTAATTTAACAATGAATGTTGGTTAAGTGTTTGTCTATGGTGTTTGCATTTCATCAAACATAATGCAAATGTTCTTTCTTAAAGAATCAATAATGACATGTATAAAAAAGTCTGGTTTTTATTTTACCTGCCCAGTGCTCCTGTGTAAAGAAGCACGCTCATTAAGGAGTGCTTGATCGTAAGAGCCACCATCATCTTCCAGATCTAATCTAGTGCGATCAAATTCCCTAAAATCATCAAGCAATGACGCATGCTCTTTTTTAGCTCTATAGCTAGAACGGAGACGGTTAAATTCCTACAAATAAATGAGCATTTTTATTTTTATCAGTAACATTACCAACCTTCAAATTAATCTAACATATGCAATATATTAAACTAATATAAAAAATACTAGAGAAAACATGAAGGGAAAGTAAATCTTTATAAATCTAGATTAAAAAGACTCTCAAGACCACAAAATGATCTAACTCACGTGAAGTCACAAGCAATCCATTTCCATACATAAGATTCCTTCCAAAAAATGAGTCTTCCAAGGTAAATTCTGATAATTTGGAACCTCATACAACAACCCAGTTGGATCACACGAGAGTAAGGTCTGGGAAGGGTGTGTGTACGCAAACCTTGCCCATACTCGAAAGTAGAGAGGCAAATTTGAAATCTCATGGTGAAAAAGGAACATTTGATGCACATTTCCCTCAGGACTGTTTCTAGGGATTCAGTTTCCGATTTACTACAAAAGCATCTTGTTTAAAATGTTCATATTTGGCCTTTTGTTAATGGTTGAAAAAGAACTACACTGATGGCTACATTAGCTTTCTCTCTTTGCTTTTTGAAAATAAAATTTTAATGAAGCATTAATCCTAGGACATAGAGGTAAAGTTTACCGCTATGAAATACCTGAGAAAGATCCTGAAGGATTTCTTGATGGCGAGTTAATGTATGTGAAAATATTTCAGATCCTCCAGATGAGACCCAAGCTTGCATGTGAGAGTTAACTTGTTGGAGCTGTTTAAGTAGTTGTTCTATCCCAATTTCAAGATCGTTATCTGTGGCATTGTCAACTTTTGTGCTGACTAATTTACGATATAAATGCATCTGCTCATCAAGTTGAGCTTCAAGCTTCCTTGCCTAGTAACATAACAAAAAGAACCATTAGACGAGAGTAAAAGAAATAGTGAAGAACAAGCATAACACAAGTACCCCCAAGAACCAAGTACTTAATGCCAAAGTAAAAGCTAGGTGTATTATAAACAAAAGGATAGGACAACACTAAACATATTGAAATAAACTTAGGCTTATTTGTCCCTTTTACCTGCAGAGCCATAATAGAGGCTTCTTGAGGACGAATTTTATATGACTAATCCTATAATCTATATAAAATTTAACATGTTCACCGACTACGAAACAATTAAGTATTACTCTATCCGATGAAAACACCCTTCAAATCCAGAGGCAAAAACTGTAAGAAATGTATAACTTGTTGAATAAACTAAGGTTTTCTTTGATGAATGAGAGTCAACGTCTATAGGCTTGCATGCTTGGTCATTTCATGATATAATGGAATCAAGGTAATATGAACTGACGCTTATTACCACATGTCAAACTCATATGTGCAACATCACCATATCGATCCTAACCTTTGGACTAAGCATTTCAACCATAAAGCTCACATGTACCTAGGGAATAACATGCCATTCAACTTTTAACACTGGATATGTCACCAATATCTTTTTTTTTTCATCTTCCACAATACTTTGTCTACCACTAATAAAAGTGCAAGATGTTGGTCGGATGGACAAGGTTCCTCAAAAATCAAACATCTCATTGACTACCACATAGAGTGCATGGAGTTTCTATAAAATGATTGAGCATGCTAACTGAGAACTATGTGGATTTTTGTTTGTAAGATAGTTCATATATCCAGTGAGTCCCCATTATTGTTCTGCATCAAATAGTGGCCCCAATGTCCCTTTAAAAGGTTCAAATTGAATCCATGGAATTATCCACCACCTGTTTGGATAAGCATCATATTAATAAAGATCAGGCCTTTTTCGGTAATACCGCCCAAACCATCTTCACATGCCACTTATAATCTTCATTGCAATTCAAAATATCTAAACTGAGAAAGATGCATTAGTCCCAACAGGTTCAAATGGTACATTTAGGGCTCCACATTGTGTCCTACGTCTGGACCATCCAAGCTGTAACTCACAGTGACCGCAGTTCAAAAAACTACACTTCCATAGCCAAATTAATTTATAATATATCAAGTGGAATGCTCTCTTGTGCCTCTGATTGACTCTAGTTATTAGGCAACAGATGGAACAATTGTTAAATCCTCTATATCCAAAGAAAGTGAATTCTTAACCACCTCAGGCAGAACACATAACATATATAGAAGAGTTTTATGACTGCATAATGTCAATCAACCACACCCTGTATGCCGAAATCTCCAGCACACCAAAACCTGCCATTTCTCTCTTTACTAAAGTATCATATATTCCATTAGATCTGGATAGAGTGAAGACACCATGTACTCATCAAATTGACATCAAGAAAAGTACCCTTTTTTTCTTTTTTTCTTTTTCCAGCGGTGGTGGTGGGGAGGGGGAGGGGGGGATTGTGAATGGAACCAAGACAAATCAATCAACTTCCCTCCATGAATGAGCCAATAAAACTTAACTTCAAAGAAATTGAATCAATTTCCCCAAGGTGGACCAATTCAATTCACTCCCCAGCGCATGGAGATTAAAAGCACAAATACATAAAATTGAAAGGGGGTTACCTGCTTTCTCAAGGAGTCCCATGAGATTGGCGGATCCATGGTGAAACCCAGCCAGCCACCCAGCCACGGAAGAGAAGAGTGGAGAGGCCAAAACCGAGACAGAAACACAACCTACGGATTGCTTGCCTCTAGCAAAGTCTGAAACAAATCTACCAAATTCGGATTCGAATTTCAAAATGATTTTGATTCTCCGTATTTTGGTGGGTGGAAAGATGCAGCTGTGATCAAGAACGGGATAGAATTCAGTGGATTTTTAGGTCTTGGATTATAATAAATTGAAGAAATGATTTCAATCCCTAAAACAATTCTTACATTTGTTTTTTTATTTGTACCGTTCTCCCTACATATTTCTTTTCTCTTTTTCTTTCTATAAAAAGAGCAATGCTAGGTTTACTCTGAAGGTTCTTTCTATAAAGAGCAATGATTTAAATTCTTATAATTTAAATTCTTATTTTAAAATTATTTTAAAGTACTTAATTTCTTTTATTAAAGTCTACAAATAGTAGGTTTGTGACCATTATATTTGTGAACCAATCATTTTTTCTATGAAATATAGTAAATCATACAGTAATTTTTTCTCTCCTCTATTTACTGATTTTTACTCTTTCTATCTTAAAATGATCTTCCCAGTCATTATTTATATATTCAAACTTTAATCATTTTCTTTATCTATTTTTGTTAGTTATTTGTTAAAATAATATACGGTACGGTTCTAGTGTCATCGGAGAACGGTGCAACTCCGATGTCACTGCGTTTTTGGAGCACCTCCAGTGCTCCGTTCGTAAAATTGACGGTTCCTACCCCCTAACACACCCCGAAACCCCCCACCATACTCCTACCCCTGCACCCCCACCCCGCTGTAAGTCCCCCACAAAATGTGTGGCTATTATGCAATTGCATAATAGCCACACATTTTGTGGGGGGCTTACAACGGAGTTGGGGTGGGAGTGCAGGGGTGGGGGTAGGGTGGGAGTTTTTGGGGTGGGTTAGGAGGTTAGTGCTATGCATTAACAGGTCCAGACCGGAATTTAGACCTGAACCGGACCGGAATGGACCGTTTCGGATCGGTCTGGAACTTTCAGGTCCGGTCTTTGGTCCTCCAAAATTTAGAATTCTGGGTTCCGGTCCGGTCTAAACCTGGTATTATCCGGTCCGGACCGGTATATAATAAAATATTAATTTTTTAAATAAATAGTTAATTCATTAGACCATTATCCTTTCAAATTTCTTCTTTTTTAATTCTCTTAGGCTCCTAACATGATATGTTACTTAATTTCAATTTTTACTTTAAGTATTTTTTATTTAATTTTTTTCTTTGAAGTTTGAACTTTGGTTTGAGATTTTTTCATGGATTTTGTAGTGTTATGAACTTATGAATTTAACAATTGTCCTCCCTAGTGAATTGTTATTGTTATGAATTTAGGGATTGATGGTATAATATATATATTTAAAATATAATTAGATATGAATTTTTTATAATGAAAATTAGGCCATTTATGTTTAAAATCCGGTCCATAATAGGGTAAACCCAGACTGGACCAGAAAATTCAGTTCCGGACCGGTATCTAACATGTCCGGTCTTCAGTCCTTGCAAATAGAGGATTCCGGTTCTGGTCCGGTCCGGTCCGGTTTTGGACCGGTGCAAACCCCTACCGGAGGTGCCCAAAAATGCAGTGGCACCGCTAGTGGCACCGTTTTTGGGTGTCACTAGAACCCCACCGAATAATATATTCATGTCACCTCTTGTTCTATAGAATTTTGATGTGGTTGAAATATATATATATATATATATATATATATATATATATATATATATATATAATTTTTACTTTTTAATTTTACACCTATAACTTTTGATGTGGTTTTAAAATATATAATTTTAGTCAAACCTCGTAAATTGAATTGGGAAGATCATCCATCCTCGTTCGGGGTCATATCCAACCTCGTTTCCCACACATCCACAGTAACCTTCGGATCTTCGTAGTATGCAGTTGACGAGCGTAGGTTTTCTTAATTACCTTTTGTCATAGTCGAAATCTTCTTATTGCACATAAGCCCTAAAGCTAACATCCACTTAACGCAAGCCGTTGTAATACGATGCACAGCATCCCCGTTTAACTTCTCATCTGTCTGAATGATCGAGCCAAGAGACCGAAACTTGTCTATCTTGTGCACTCGATGAGAATCAATTCTAACCTCCACCCCTAGTTTTGTCTCCTCATCACTAAAACAACATTCCATGTATTCATTCTTGGTCATACTCAGCCTAAATCCTTTTGATTCCAAGGGAACGCGCCAAAGTTCTAACTTCTCATTTAGTCCTTCACGAGTGGCATTGATCAACACAATATCATCAGCAAACAGCTAGTGGCCTCTCCTTGAACTTGAAGTGTGAGGATGTCCATCACCAAAGGAGACAAGAAGTGGCTACCCCTGGCCTAACCTTACTACTGCGGAGAATGACTTAGAGTCACCCCAATACTCCTTACCCTAGTCCTTGCCCTGTCATACATATCTACATATCTCTGACTGCACGAATATATGCGATTGGAACCCCTCTCGACTCAAGACACTTGTACAAGACCTTTCTTGGCACCCTATTGTATGTCTTCTCAAGATCAATAAACACCATATATAGATCCTTCTTCTTACCCATGTACTCTTCCATGAATCCTCACCAGAAGTAAATGGCATCTGTCGTCAATTTTCCAGGCATGAGATCAAACTGGTTCTCGAAAATACACTCTCCTTTCCACAGCCTATGCTCAATGACTCGGTCCCAAACTTTCGTAGTGTGGCTAAGCAGTTTATTGCCTTTGCAATTCTTGCAACTCTGAATGTAACCATTACCTTTAAATTGAAGGACCAACATGCTCTCCCTCCACTCGTAAGGCATCTTAGAAATTCTAAAACTAACATTGAAGAGCTTGGTTAACCAAACTAACCGTTGTGAATTTGTGACCCACAAACTTGCAAAACTACATTAGAATCTCATCGGACCCCAAGGCTCTCTCACTATGCACCCCGCGGATGTATCAAGCCACCTCCTTTTGATTAATGCACTGACAATAACCAAAGTCACGAAATATCTCAAACTACTCCAGCTCACCTAGTTCTAACCTCGGATCTCCTGCCGCATTTAGGAGGCCACAGAAGTACTCCCACATCGATTTTTGCCACCTCTATAATCTCAAAGATAATACGCATCTCTCAAGATAATGCATATCTAAGAAGATATATGTATGTATGCATTGCCCCTAGATACAAATAAAGAGTCTAAGTTAGTTTTTCTTTCCTTTTAATGTGATGAAGGTCTATACGCAACGAGTCCTATTCGGGACATTGATTTGAACCAAAGAAAGTCATGCTTTATCGAACCCAGATGCATGTAGTATTGGAAAAATAAGTAGTCACAAAAAACTATATATGATATAAGATTTAAAAATAAAGCCAAGTACTCCCTCCGTCCTAAATTAAATTGAATTTTTACTATTCACGGGACCAATATTAAAAATAATTTTAGTTAAACATCGTAAATCAAAATAGATAATTTAAACGGTAAGTCTAAAATGAC